CTGTAACTGAAAATATGGATGAAAGACTTCAGTTTAGTTTGTTAGTTTGTCGCGCTATGGCCAAGCTAATACATACAAGGCAATATAGCGTCGGCGCTAACGCAAAGGCTAACAGGCTAAGCTGAGGTTCTTCTTCCATGAAGCAGCTCTGTTGTCCTCCATCCATATTTTCAGTTACAGGCTGAGTCATTTCTACCTTCTCCTCTCTGTCAACGCTCTCTGGTTTCATTTAAAAGAGCCAATCGTCAGATATTGTCCAAGATTAAATTTCAGGGTGGATATAGCTCGCTCACACTGAGGACCTATCCACATCATCATTTACCCAGAATGCTTTGTGTGTAAATAAAATGGCTCTGTTGTCCTCCATCCATATTTTCAGTTCCAGGCTGAGTCATTTCTACCTTCTCCTCTCTGTCAACGCTCTCTGGTTTCATTTAAATGAGTCAATCGTCAGATATTGTCCAAGATTAAATAAATAAAATGGCCCCATCCATGCAATATATTTTTAAACTTTTAGTTTAAAAATGATAAAAACTGAACATGCTACAGTATTTTACAGTCTTTATTTTACAGTCAAAATATGTTTATCAAATAGTCTAATGTTACAACTAATCATGGATCCCTTTAAACTTACATGTGCAACAAACACTTTTGAAGATTCAATCATTTTTAAACGCTTGGCAGAGTTTTGATACGGTTATTTATAGTAGCTCTGTTTAGCAAGTCGACAGGGAAGGATAAAAAGAAAAGGCTTTTCTTTTTTTCCCTTCAGCTGTCTCAGCGACTAAAGAAGCTCCCAAACGGCGGTCGTTTCCAACGTCAAGAAGTCTCTCTTGATTGGACACTTTGACCGTGTTTGTGAGCTCCTCCGGTCAGTTTAGATCTGGGAGTTTGTTAAAGTTTCCTTCACAAAAAAGAGTTTTTACTGAGGGTAAGAGCAGACTCACTGACAAATTCAGATTTAGACTTTAACGTTGCAAAACAATAAAGCCACAGAAATACCTCTGCTGGTCCAAAACACAGACCTCACAGTTTAATCATGGCACATAAAGACATGGAATTATGCATTTAGATGATCAAACATAGTCTAGATATCTCAATAAAAACAAGAATGTGTAGTGCATTTAAGAATCAATGTTAAACAGTATAAACTTTCCTTCAGTAGCATTAAACTCTTAAGGGGTTTTCTTCACGTTTTTGCTCAAAATACCATGCTGAAATATAACTGAGTGTATCTGAGCATTTGCAAACTCTACTTAAATAATCTTGGTATCAAAATAAAACTAAAACTTGGGAGATTTAATCAGAAGTGTAAGTATTCAAACAGCTGCTGTGGTTTTAGAGATATTGGGGATGGAACATAATTTCTTTTTCACTCTCACCTGAATATTTTTTTCATTAGACAGTATATAACCTATTTAAAACCATAACGAAGTAGGCTAAACACTCTTGGAAACCATAAATCCACTTGTGTTCATTACCTGTGCAAAGATTCATGCTGCTAAAATTAACTGGAGCGAAGTTACAGAGGTTTTAGTAAAGAAATAATTTTGTGCTTTGTCATTCTGCGCAGGACAGACCATGATGATACCATTAATAAATGTTAAGAAATATGAAGTTTTTACTTCCAAGACATATTTTTTACTTACCTGCCTTAAAAGACTTGTTACTGAATGTTTGGGGGGTTTTTTTGAAAAATTATCCAAACATTTATTTGTCACCATATATATTATATAAAATAATGAGAAATTATATTTGATTTCAGTAGGATCATAGTCACTCAATATTAAGTGAAAAAAAAAACTTTCAACCCACTTTAGAACATGTTTAGATATCCATTTTGATTTGCTTTAAAAAAATAATGTCAAAATCTTTTCCTTTACAGATTTGTTGTAATGTATTTACAGATTTACAATGCCGCCATTTTGTACAGTTGGTTTACTTTCTGATTCAACTGACTGTCTTTTGAACTGTTTGGTGAATGCAAAAATAGTTTCCATGAACTTTTAGCCAAGATTCGTAGCTTTCTTTTGATAATAAACAATGATAGATCTAAAGTTAAAAGAAGTTAAAAGAAATACAAAATGGAAAAAAACTGTGTGGTGCTCAAGAGGTCAACAAATCAGCTTTTTCATCACATTCTCACCCATGTAGGATCATCGTAATTGCGGGACTTTAACTTCTCCTTCTCTTTCTTTAGGCGTTCTTTATCCTTTTCTACTTTTTGTACAGTCTCTCTCAGCGACTTCAGGTCCTCCTGGTAGCTTTCCCACTGCCTCGTCAGCTCCGAGTTCTCCTCATCCAGCTTCTCCTCCCGCCTCCGGCACTCCTCCTCCCTCTGCTTCAGCGCAGCCTCCAGAGTCTTCCTCTCCTTCTCCCAGCGCTGCTGCTCGTCCCGGTGCTGAGCCCACTGCTTCTGCAGGTCGGCCGTCTCCTCCTTCTGCTTCTTCAGGGCGCGCTGCTTCTCCTGCTCCAGCAGCACGTTGCTGTAGCTGCGAGTGGGCAGCTTGCTCTTTGCGTGGAAGGCCTTCTGCAGCTCAATCATGCTGTCCTGCTGGACGATCACCGCCTGCATAGTGAAGATAGTGAACAGTTTTATTTCAACCCTTGGTTTTTTTCAACAATACAAAGGTTTTTTTTTATTATTATGGTCTGTGGAGAGCCGTACAACACGTTATACAATAGATTTCTAGTCTTACTTCTAAACTGTGGAGCTTCTTTGAGAGCTTCAACACACGGTCACACACCTACACAGAGAAACAAATAAAAGGTGCATTACCAGATAGAAGGAAAAACAGGACAAAGGTAAACAGAACAACTGAGGAGTATTACGGCTTTGTCAGGAAAATGACTTGATATTGAACTGCAGTGTGGCAGCAGATGGACTCCAGTTTCATCATCAGCCTGTTTTACAAACACCACAAAGAGCAAACAGTCAAATTAGTTTGTAGTAATTTTAGTTCCTTCCACAGATTTTCAACAGGATCAGGGCTCAGAGGGCCACTTCAAAATGTTTTCTTCTTAACCATTCTTGGGAGTTTTGAGTCATCATCCTGCTGGTGAACCCAGAGATCAAGCTTTCCGACACTGAGCCGCACATTTGACCTCAGAATGCCTTGATAGTCTTGAGATTTAATTGTTTCCATTACTTGCTTGTTAGTATTTCTCATTATTATCAGTTGCAAGTTATTTCAGGGACCTTTGTGGGATTTTCTATCTTTAACTAAAAGGGTACAAAAACATTTGATGGCGTCTGTAAATTGTTTAAGATCCTTTACATCAGCCTCCCTCACAGACTGTTCCAGGCCTTCAGAGATGGACAATCTCTTCAGCAGATTTTCACAGCTGGTTTGCCGGCTGTACGATGAAAAGCCAACACTTCTGTCCGGAGTATCAGCTGCATCTCCGTCTGAAAAAGTTTAACAGGGACAGTTACATCAGAAATGTCAGGTCTTTTTTTTTTTACAAAAAAATAAAAAATAAATAAAGACTAGTTGTAGAATAGAACTACTACATAAGCAGAAGTATGAATTCGTTTTACACTTTATACCATTTCATTTTGCATTTTGTCCAAAAATATCCATGTTTCTAAGAATAAACCATTCCTGCTAAATGATCAGTTAGTGTTTTACTAAAGATAAGACATGAGACTGTTTTCAACAGAAAACTTTGTCCTGAGATCCATATTAAAGTAATGAGCACAGAGAATAGTTAAACATGACTGAATGGACTTTTAAGCTAACTGCTGTTTTTCTTAGTGAATCGGTGTAGAGGATGATGATGATGCAGAAGTTCTTTTACAGACATGTTTCTTAGATAAATGAGATGTTTTTCAATTCTTTAATATACTGACATCTTTTATAAAAAACACACAAACTTACATTTTACGTTGGTGTTACTGTCTATTCCTGCAAAAGTCTGAGTCCTCCTGATCCCCACAGCCTGCATCTCATTCTCTGTGTGATGGTTTGGGCCTTTTATCCTCATGAAGAACAAGTTCTGCAGGATTTCCACTACAAATAAAAACAAATCTATTCTTTAGATCTGTTCTTTTAAAGATACAGTCAGCATTATTTAATTCATTGTTTGGTGTGGTTTGTTTGAATCTCAACATTGTTTCCACAGATCTAAAGTATCATCGGATTCTCTTTCTGCTCTTACCGTCTTCGATGGCCCCGGCGAGCAGTGCCTCCCCCTGCTGGAGGTCGGCTGTTTCTCCTCGCAGCAGCAGCCCTTTGTGTGGGGCTTCCTGCCCGATCACTTCCTTATAAAGAGCATCAAAGATCTGCTGCTTCTCTGCCAGGTAATGTTTTATCAGCTCGTCCCTCTGTTGCAACATATCTGCAGAGCAGCAACAAAGAGAAGCAGTAAAAACAGTTCGATACCTCTCCTGTCTTTATATCATAGGGCTGTTTTCACAAGACAGACCGGGCCTGGACCGAGGCGCCTTCTGGACGCCTCTGTGTGAGTTAACGAAGCCCGCCCCTGACGTGCCCGTCTCAGGAAGCAAGGCAACAGAGGCAAAATGACCTACAATTAAATCAAGTAATGTCAGCCATCTTACCTTGATAACGTTGCAATCCTGTAATCAGTTTGTTGTACTGCTCCTTTTCCTCATAACTGAAACACAGAGACACTTCTTTATTACTGTCTTTTAAAGTATAACTACCACCCACCCTCCCTGCGAGTTTAGAAAAAGTCCAAAAAGTGGGCAGTGAGTGAGAAGGTGTTAGACAAAATATTGCAAAATAAAAAAATGACATGAAAATGTCAAAATTTGCACAGAAATATAAGGAAAATACACTGAAAGGGGCAATATTATGTGTTTCTCAGGCATACATTTAAATACTATACCATAATAAAGTATCTGTCACCTTTAT